ATATCAATTAATAAATATTTTTTTTATATAAATAAATAAATATTGAAATAATCAAACTCTTTGACAAAGCTTCTGTATTTTACTTTGAAATTTAACTCTTTTTATATCAATTAATAAATATTTTTTTATATAAATAAATAAATACTGAAACTTTTTGACAGAACTTCTGTATTTTACTCTCGAATTCTGTATTTTACTCTGGAATTCTGAAAATATTGACGTAAATAAGAGTTTTATATAGAATGTGATTGGTTTTATTAGGTAAATTAGATTTTCTTTTATTAAAAAACTTGTAATAAATAAATAAATAGGTAATTTGTGTTAGAGTTTAATATAAACTCTTTTAAAAACTCTTTTTATATCAATTAATAAATATTTTTTATTTTAATAATTTTTGTCTAATTAGATTTACTTTTAGTAAAAAAAAACTCAAAATAAATAAATAAATAGGTAATTTGTGTTTTAAAAACCTCCTTTTGTATCAGTTAATAAATAATTTTTTATATTAATAATACTTGTCTAATTATGTTTCATTTTATTAAAAAATTCATGATAAATTGATAAATTGGTAATTTGTGTTATTGTACAAACTCTTTAAATATATTTTTGTTGATAGAGTTTTATTGATAATAGAATAGGTAATTTGTAATAGAGTTTTATTGAAATTATTTTATTTTCTTTAGATATATACTTGTCTAATTAGTTTTAATTTTATTAAGATACTCATAATGAAAGCTAATTTGTGGTAGAGTTTTATAAAAATTATTTTATTTGATAGATCAATTAATAAATATTTTTTATACTAATAAATCTTGTCTAATTAGATTTTCTTTTATTAAAAATGGATAACAATAAATAGATAAATAGGTTAATTTAAATTTTAGTATGTAGATTTTATTGTTTTATAGATTTTTTTTTTTTTGTTTTAGTAAAAACTCTTTTCATATCATTTAATAAATATTTTTTTATATAAATAAATAATGAAACTCTTTACACATCTAATAATAATATAGATAAAAATTCTTTTTATATCAATTAATAAATACTTTTTTATATAAATAAATAAATACTGAAAACTCTTGACAGAACTTTTGTATTTTACTCTGAAATTAACTCAATTAATAAATATTTTTAATATAAATAAATAAATATTGAAACTCTTTGGGAGAGCTTTTGTATTTTACTTTGGAATTCTGGATTTCCAGAATTTTCAATTTCTGTACCCCTTCCTTCTTTCTTCATGACTCTATTTATAAGCTTCTTGGATGAATAGGATGGTGACATGTGTCCTTTTCTGAAAATGACATAATCAAAATTGGGTCGTTTATTTTGTAATAATTATTTATAAAAAATAACTAAAAATAAGAATTTTATATAGAATGTGATTGATTTTATTAGGTAATTTTTAGAGTTTTGTAGAAACTATAATTATCCATAAAAAAATAACTAAAAATAAGAGTTTTTATATAGAATGTGATTGATTTTATTAGGTAATTCTAAAGTTTTATAGAAACTATTTTTACAAAAAATATTTTTATATCAATTAATAAATATTTTTTTTATATAAATAAATAAATACTGAAATACTGAAACACTTTGCACATTTAATAATAATATAGATATATATTTATATAAATTTGCATATGCCTTTTGTTTGTCTCGTTCTTATCAGTTTTTCTTTAAAAAAATATTACATTCATCCATCCGATTCCATACGATCGATCATTATTTTTTTGCCAAGAAAAACATTAAAATTTTCATCAAAAAAGTTTTATATAGGATTCTAATTGCTTAAGGTCTATGCTAAAAACTGAAAAAGAAACAAAGCAAAAATATATAAAAATATCAATAGTTGTGGAGATCCAAAGCAGCTTTTAATTCTTAGCTTTTTCCATTTTATGATTTCACCTTTTCTTTTCTGGTTTTTTTTTTTTTTTTAGAAATTTCTACGTTGAAAATATGATATAGAAATTTATTTTTATCAGTTTTCTCTCCAACACGAACTGGTTCAATAAACAAATTGAATGCTTTTGAATAATTTGTTTGATTCATGTGGTGCTACTGCAACAGTACATAATTAATATATATATATATATATATATATATATATATATATATATAATATTTGCCCTCATTGAAAGATATGGACAAACATTTGTAATTTACATTAATTTGGTCATTACTACATCAAAAAAGGAAGAAAAAAATAATCGAATATATATATATGAAGGCCATTAAGGAATTAATTAGAGGGCCCGGGCTGTGTTATGGAAGTGAATTAACATCTTAATTAATTTGTAGGGTCCATCTAATGTGATTATGTCTATATGTCTCATCGATCTTGTTTATACAAACTAGTGATGCTTTGATATACATGGACCATCTATATAAGACAGATCAAGATGCGTAAATCATATTGACAGGTGATCATGGAAAACAATATTATATAAAGGACAATATTTAGGTCTTCACGATGCGTAAATTATATTGACAAGTGATTAAGGAAAACAATATTATATAAAGAACAATATTTAGGTCTTCACTAGTGAAGATTTACAACATATTCATCGTTAATGTGAACTAATAATACGTTCTATTTTAATTGACAAATCATAAATGGTAATCAAATCACTACTGATGACCTACAATATACTCATCGTTGATTTGGACTAATAATAGATGGACAAATTATATTTTAATTACCAAATCATAAATGATAATCAAATCACTATCTCTGATTTGATAAGTGAATTTTTACGCACCACCTTTGATTTGGTAATTAAAAATCACATGTAAATTTATTATTGGTCCATATCAGCGGTAAGTATGTTATAAATCCTCACTAGTAAGCATTGTCCTTGTATAAAATTTTCTCACTCCTCGCCTTTCCTCTACAACCTGATTTCATATGGATCCTCCAAAACTATATATGGATGCTCCATAACATACATATTATGTATATAACATTTATATATACATTATAGATCATATTAATTTTTTTATGAAAAATGATAGGTCTTCCGACGTTAATTGTCGACTCTTCCTACGAATATAAAAATTCCCGTAAACATCTCTTTCTCTTCCACTCATTCCTAACCATGTTATATTTAGAGGAGTAGTCGGCAATTGAAGTCGAAAGATCTGTCACTTCTCATTTTTTATACATCACTTTTTGTTTTTTGTTTTTTTGTTTTTCATTAATATACTGTGTGTACAGCTTTTTGATCAAATGAAAGGTTCAGTATTAATAGGGACAAATTTAAACTTAAATGAAAATAATTCAATGAGATGGAAGTTTCTTGATCTGAAAACTAATGTGGAAATTGCGTTATAGTCTATTGATGTATAATTACTTAGTATAATTAATTAATTTTTTTTTTTTTTTTGACAGAATATTACTTTCTGTATATTGTGTAAAAGAAAAAAATTGAAAGATTCTATTTATATTAAATAAAAGATTATTGTTAAGCATAATTAAAGTGGTAGTGTCAAAAAGGGTAGATATTTTTCAATAATGCTATGCTAGCAAGATTCTTTTGTTGTGATCGGTGTGATTTTCATATTCTATGAACCTTGAACTTTTTGGTTTAGAGTTCAAGGGTTAACTTCAAAGTGAATTTATAGATATTTTTATCATTTGAATTTAGAGAGTAGGTGACAATCTTTTTTTGAAAAGGGAAAAACATTCCTATTTTTTTGTACGATCTAAAATGATTTAAGTATAGACATATTATTTTTTTTATTTCTTCTGAAAGGTAAGCATTCAGAAGATTTTATTCAATGAAAAATGGCAGAACCAAGGGCCGGTTCATGAATTGTTAATGGGGTGTGCTAATATTTTTTTAAGTGGACTAATATTAGTAATAAATTTTTTTTTTTGGATTGGACTAAAATTACCTATAGTTAAAAAAATAAAAAAAAATAAAATATTGGGGGTGGCTAAACATGCACATAGATCTGCCCTTGGCAGAACCAAATATTCAGTGTTAGACCAAGAAGCACAAACCCTCGTGTAATTGTGTCACAAGATGGTAAATGACAATACTATGATTTAAGCCACTGTGCACTCCAATGCTAATGGAATAAGCCCTTGAAAGCTCTGATTCACTAATTTTTGACATTATACAGACAAACACCACTTGGTGAACGTTAAGACCAACACACAGTCTCATAGAAACCGAACTCCACGATGAAAACAAAATTTTAAAGATTTCGTAAACTATTTACAATGATGTGCATCTCATTATAGCTCCAATGAAAATTTTGAGAGGAGGACCTAACTCGTCCAAAGAAAGTAATATAATGATTATATCTTGATTACCATCTTCATATTTGATGTTTTTTTTTTTTTTTAATCTAAAAATACTTTGTAGGAGTATATACTAGTATATATATAACCAAAATTAGAGAGAGAAGATGATAAAAACTTCAGTCCCACAATTCATATAAAAGAAAATGAAACATCATAAAATTAAAGACACGGTGAGTCACAAAATTAAATATAATAGATTAAATGGAATAGTGTGTATTTTTGGCATATGTTGTTGGATCGACTTATACATTAAAAATTTAAAAATAATTTTAATAAAAATAACTATTAAACCAATCATAATTTATAAAACAGATGTTGCTGAACATAAATGTGAATGTTGAGGTAAGTTTTTCACAAATTCAAAAATGATAAAAGGAAAAATGGGTCGGTAAAATTAACACCATCTCAAGATGATGTGAGATGAAGTTGATTAAATGGTTAGTCATTGCTGCTATTAAAGATCATAAATAACTACATCATAATAAAAATTGATGTTCTGTTTAAAGAAAGTAATAATTGAAGAATGTGAAGACAATTTTTTATTTATTTATATGATTTGGAGTAATTCGGAAACATAACGTGGATTTAATTGACGATTGGCGAATGGCAATCAAAAGAAGATAACATTATTGTATTATGCACAAACATCGCGTGCGCCTTGTTGCAGTTTTAATATATGAAACCCGTAGTGTGTGGCGTGGTCGTGGTCGTGGTCGCAAAAACATGTTTGGAGGGACAAAATATCTGACAAACCACACCCCTTGTTACAAATTACAACACAAGAACGCCTACAAAACACACAGTGCCACTGTAGTCCAGTCCCGTTGAAATTCGATTCCAATGGGCAGTAGATGTCTAGTCTCATCATCCACACTCACACCCTTGAGATTTTCTCCCATACCCAGATCAATTCCGCCATTGAATCAACCAAAACTGTATTTGGGTAGTACAGATTCTCAACCCCTGACCTTGAGAGGTCTCAATCTCAAACATGGCTGCTTCTGTAGAATCGCCACACCCACAACAACATTCTGCTGCACCACAAAAGCTGTTTTATCAGAAATTCCCAATCAGAAACACTACTCCAAAATTGGTGCTCAATCAACTGGCCCCATTCCCTCCAACCACCTCCTCCAAGTGGTTGAAATTGCTGCTAAGACTGGCGCTCAGGTATCGCCTCATTTCTCTCTCTCCCTCCCTTTCTCTCTATACCTATTTTTTTGTCTACATAATCACTGCCTTTATTTCATGTCAGTGTGAATTGTGAATGTGAATGGGTCATTTATATAATCTAATTCTATTTTTACACTCTCACATTCTATGCAAATTTGTGTCACTTTCACTTATTTGATCATTAATAGATGTGAACCTGTTTGCATGTATTTCTCAATATAAAGAAGCAACAACCCAGTTCTTTGCCATTTATATTTACCTCCAATGATAATTCATGCCTTTTTATTTATTTTTTTAATTCTTTCATCCATAGTATGTGGGTGGTTTCTACCGTTTGACTTTTTTTTGTTTACATTTATATTTATTGAGTTTGTAATTAATTGGAGCAAATTGTTTTGCCCCCGAAAATTTTGATTGAAGAGAAACTGAATTTCTTATCAATTTGTTTGTGAGATCATAAAGTTAAGGAAGGGAAAACAAAAGATAAGCAAAAAACATGAGAAACAAAAGATGTCGAAAGACAACCAGTTTTGTTTTCACCTGTCCTCAGGAGTGAACAGATGAGGAAAAAAATGCATATCTCTTGTTTACTTAGGATGAAGAGGAGGTAGGGAAAAGGAAAAAAGAGAAGAAAAAAAACCTCTAGGCAATTTTTTTTACTACTATAAACTTTCTTTTTTAAAGAAAAATTCCTGAAGCTTGTAATACTGGGGTCATTAAGGACATAAATTAATTCTTTTACCTATCAACTCATTTGAATACCATAAGATCTATAAATAAATATGTGAAAGCTATATAATGAGACATGGTTCCTTGGATTAAATTCTATTAAAGTCTACATGAGTCCAAGATGCTCGAGAACCATCTAATAGGAGAAGATCACAACCTAAAATTAGTAGCTTATAATAAATATATTCTTTTTTTTTTTTTTTTTGATAAGTTTCTAATAAATATATTCCAAAAACAGATCGCCCAAAGTAGTAAGTTTTTCATCTTTTAAGAGGGGAGCTGCAATTATCTTCAAGTACTTACAAAAGTCATTTCCATCGAAACTCAAGCCATCATAGCATAAAGATTTCAATTCGTGCCAAGCATGAATATGTTCCAAAAGTGTTCATAAAACAAAATGAACAAAACAAATGACATTTCAAAAGAGTTGTACAAACCAAAAAAGAGAATAAAAATACCCTGAAATTAACTTACAAAATGTGAAAATGGCCTCTAGAATTTGACCCCCTGAAGTCATTTATTTAGTAGGGTCAGGGTGCTCATGTGACCTTACAGGTAACATTTTTTTTTTTTTTTATTCTGTAGGCTCAAGGAGTGCAAGGCTAGAAATAACTAAAGGAAGATGAAATCGGGAAGAGCTTTAGGACCTGATGGCATACCTGTTGAGGTTTGGAAGTGTCTAGGAGAAGATGGTTTATCTTGGTTAACAAAATTGTTTAATAATATAATAGCAACTAAGAGGATGCCTGATGGCGCCAGAGTATTCTAGTCCCTAACTCCCTATAAATAAAAATAAAGGGTACGTACAAAGTTGTAATAATTACCGTGGTATTAAATTAATGAATCACACTTTGAAACTTTGGGAGAGAGACAATGCCTAAGACGAGAGACTGAGGATCAATTTGGATTCATGATGGGAAGGTCAACAATGGAGGCTATTCACGTATTGAGGAGACTAATGGAAAAATATAGGGAGAAAAAGAGAGATCTCTATATGGTTTTTATTGATTTGGAGAAAACCTATGAAATGGTACCTAGAGATCTAATATGGAGGGATTTTAGAAAAAGCAGGAGTCATAAAGGGGGTGCCATATAGGACATGTGTTACGGGATTTGGACCTTGACAAGCCCCTTGACAGCCATGGGATGCTGTCAGCGTGCACTGGGGGTGCCCAGTGGCATTTTCGTAAATATGGCGAAAAAGTGAAGCTTGGAGTTTTGGCTCGGGATCTTTATGGGAGGTACCTTGAGTCCATAGAAGATGGTTGGCGCAGACAACACTCGATTTGGATGTCGTGCACTCTGAGACATTTATATGTGGGTGCAGATTAGTGGGCTTGGTACGGGCTAAGTTCATAAGGTTGGCTCAGATGTTGCTTAAAGCATAGACCACACAAGTCATGGAAGTTTGGCATAGTCAAGTCAGGGACATGGGTACAAGGCAGTGGGCGTAGACAAGGCTCAGCGTGCAAGGTTGGCTCAGGGGACTCAGACATGGCTTATGGTTACAGAAGATGGCTAAGTGGGCTCAGGTGGTTGGGGGAAGTTACACTTCCCACTAAATGGGCTCAGGTGTTTGGGGGAACTTACTAACACTTCCCATTAAGTGGGCTCAGTTGGTTGGGGGAAGTTACTAGCACTTCTCACTCATGTGGGGAGTGGGGGTGTGCTGAATAACTTTCCATCCATGTGGCACAAATTTGAGAGGACAACACACAGGCGGTTGGAGGTGGTTTCTTCCACTATGCTGAGTGCAACTTCCTGTGGACACGTGGCATGAGCAGAGCATGCCAACAAGCTAGTAGTTGGGCTTGTCAACTACATATGTAGTGTTGGCACACTTAGTGGGTGCCAACATGACCCTAGGTGGATGGGGGTGTCATCCACCACTTTAGTGGGCAGTTGTGGGCGGTTTTGAGAGTTTGCCTATATATTGCTAATGTGGGTTCTGTAGAGAGAGCAGATTGAGAGTGAGATACAGAGTTGTGTTCTGAGAGACTCTTGTATGCTTCTGCAGGTTGAGGCCTTTCCTTGTACTGTTTTGTGAATAATAGTAAAAGGTTGGAAGCCTTGTGCTTCTGTAAAATCGTGGGTGTTATTGTCTTTACATTCTTGCAACTATACTTGTGTGTGAGAGTGTTTTACTTGCTGTGTGTTTTAGGCAGCAAGTGTGAGTTAGCTGAGTTAAGTTAGAAATTCAGATAAAAGTTGTTCATATTTCTGGCTTAGTGCCATCACAGGGCACTAGATTCGTGTTCAGAATTTACCCCTGTGGCAATTGGTATCAGAGCCCAGAGTTGGGTTCATCATGGCCGGTGGTAATGCTGCAGAAGCTCTCAAAGATCGTGTGACTTGTTTGGAGGCCTTGGTGGGTGCTCCACAATCTGACGATGCTGCTGCCTTGACGGAGCAGATGAAATTGTTTGCAGTTGAGTTGCAGACAATACGATCAATGCTCGAAGAGTTTGTGGGGGAGACAAACTCAAAGATGCAGATTATGACGGATGATGTGATGTCCATGACAGACCTCTTCAAAGATCATGTGAAGGATTTGGAGGGCGAGGTGGCTCTGTTGAAGAGGGCTATGCACAATCGGACTGTTGTGGGAGAGAAGCCATCATCTTCCAAAATTAAAATTCCAGAACCAAAGTCATTCGGGGGCAAGAGGAGTGCCAAAGATCTGGAGAATTTCTTGTGGGATATGGAGCAATATTTTCGAGCAGCCCACATTCCAGATAATGACAAGGTAATTATTACCAGTATGTATTTGTCTGGTGATGCTAAATTGTGGTGGCGAACTCGGGTGGAGGATGAGTTACGCCCAAAAATTACTGTATTTGTAGAGCTGAGGAAAGAACTGAATGAGCAGTTTCTTCCAGCAAATTCTGGCTGGGTGGCCCGGGAGTCATTGAGGAGACTCAAGCGTACGGGTACAGTGCGTGAATATGTAAAAGAGTTCACATCTTTGATGCTGGATATCAAAGATATGTTCGAGGGGGACAAATTGTTTAATTTCATGGCAGGCTTGTAATCATGGGCACAAATCGAGTTAAGGAGGAGAGGAGTGATTGACCTCTCTTCTGCTATAGTTGCAGCAGATAGCCTGGTGGACTTGTAGATTGAAAAGTCTGACTCTACTATCGCCAGCAAATTGAAGAAGAAGGGCAAGTTCGGTGACAAGCCCAAGAGGTATGGTGTTGCTGAGGAAGAGAAAGACAAAGGGAAGCCAGAGGCGACGTTCATCCAGCAGAGGCCAAAGCTGGACAGTGGTTGCTTCATTTGCAAGGGTCCACACAGGGCGAGAGACTGTCCTAAGAAGGAGAAGGTGAATGCTATGGTTGTTGAAGAAGCCAATGGAAGAGATTCAGACTCGGATGAGGGTAATGTTCGGGTCAATCCTCTTGTCATGCAGTCATGATAGGTGCAGGTGGACGCGTGGCTTTGGGGGAAGGCTATGCAGAGATGCTCACGGAGTTATTGCCAAGGTTAGTAATGGTGAATTTCCTCTTTATTTGTTTTTCTGATTTGGGTTACTGGTTATGAGGACAGAATCCAAAGGTGTTCAGAATTCATGTCATGAATTGATGCGAAGGTTGGGGTTTATGGCATTATTCAAGTGCAGCAGTGGAGTTGTTGCAGTGTTAATTTTCATTATTTAGGTTGGTCGGGGCCAACATGCTAAGTTGCAGGCAGAGACTTGTGACACTTTGTGATTGCTTCAACGAGGACGTTGAAATTCTTAAGTGGGGGAGGTTTGTTACGGGATTTGGACCTTGACAAGCCCCTTGACAGCCATGGGATGCTGTCAGCGTGCACTGGGGGTGCCCAGTGGCATTTTCGTAAATATGGCGAAAAAGTGAAGCTTGGAGTTTTGGCTCGGAATCTTTATGGGAGGTACCTTGAGTCCATAGAAGATGGTTGGCGCAGACAGCACTCGATTTGGATGTCGTGCACTCTGAGACATTTATATGTGGGTGCAGATTAGTGGGCTTGGCACGGGCTAAGTTCATAAGGTTGGCTCAAATGTTGCTTAAAGCATGGACCACACAAGTCATGGAAGTGTGGCATAGTCAAGTCAGGGACATGGGTACAAGGCAGTGGGCGTAGACAAGGCTCAGCGTGCAAGGTTGGCTCAGGGGACTCAGACATGGCTTATGGTTACAGAAGATGGCTAAGTGGGCTCAGGTGGTTGGGGGAAGTTACACTTCCCACTAAGTGGGCTTAGTTGGTTGGGGGAAGTTACTAACACTTCCCACTAAGTGGGCTCAGTTGGTTGGAGGAAGTTACACTTCCCACTACGTGGGCTCAGTTGGTTGGGGGAAGTTACTAGCACTTCTCACTCATGCGGGGAGTGGGGGTGTACTGAATAACTTCCCATCCATGTGGCACAAATTTGAGAGGACAACGCACAGGCGGTTGGAGGTGGTTTCTTCCACTATGCTGAGTGCAACTTCCTGTGGACACGTGGCATGAGCAGAGCATGCCAACAAGCTAGTAGTTGGGCTTGTCAACTACATATGTAGTGTTGGCACACTTAGTGGGTGCCAACATGACCCTAGGTGGATGGGGGTGTCATCCACCACTTTAGTGGGCAGTTGTGGGCGGTTTTGAGAGTTTGCCTATATATTGCTAATGTGGGTTCTGTAGAGAGAGCAGATTGAGAGTGAGACACAGAGTTGTGTTCTGAGAGACTCTTGTATGCTTCTTCAAGTTGAGGCCTTTCCTTGTATTGTTTTGTGAATAATAGTAAAAGGTTGGAAGCCTTGTGCTTCTGTAAAATCGTGGGTGTTATTGTCTTTACATTCTTGCAACTATACTTGTGTGTGAGAGTGTTTTACTTGCTGTGTGTTTTAGGCAGCAAGTGTGAGTTGGCTGAGTTAAGTTAGAAATTCACAGAAAAGTTGTTCATATTTCTGGCTTAGTGCCATCACAGGGCACTAGATTTGTGTTTAGAATTTACTCCTGTGACAACATGTATGATGGTTTTGTGACTTCAATTAGAACACATGTAGGAAAAATAAGTGAATTCCCAACTACTATAGGTGTTATGACAAACATAGCGAACTCAAGAACAAATCACGAAACACGACAGAGAAATAAACACACCAGGCACAAATAACAAAAAGATTTAGTGTGGTTCGACACAAGGTGTGTCTATGTTCACGATGGAGATTTGGCGAAAGATTTCACTATGCGAAAAATATGAGATTACAAATTTCAACCCCCAAACCTTAGCTCGCTCTCACTCTCTTTTTTGCGATTTTCAGTGTCTCTCAATATTCCACTCCATACCCTAAACGCCTTTATATATCAGGCTTCAAGAGAATGCTAAACAAGGTCCACGACCCACAAACAAAACGGGTCGAAAGCGGGTAGCGTTAACCAAATTTGGGCCACAACATCACAATAGGCTTGCATCAAATGTTAGCAGGATGGGTTAAATAGAGGAGTGCATCTAGTATATTGTGTGATAAGCGTTTCCACTTACAATTGAGAGGAAAGTTCTATCAAACATCCATTAGACCTCTATCGAACATCTATTAGACCAACCATACTTTATGGCACAGAATGTTGGGCGAATAGGAAACAACATATGCATAAAGTGCGTGTGGCAAAAATGCCAATTTTGAAATGATAGGATTAGAAAGGATATAATAGTAAATGATCACACTCAGGAGATGGTTGGAGTAGCACAAATTTGAGATAAAATAAGAGAAAATCGGTTAAGATGGTTTGGACATGTGCAAAGAAGACCTTTAAGTGTGCCGGTTAGGAAAAGTGGCATAGTCCACATTGAGGTAATACTAAGGGTAGAGGGAGATCAAAGTTAACATGGGTAGAGTTAGTAAGGAAGGAATTGACTGAGACTATGGTTTTAAATAGAGTGGAATGGAGGCATAGGATTTATGTAGCTGACCCCAAGTAGTTGGGGAAAAGGCTTGATTGTTGTTGTTGTTCATGTGCATAAATAGTACATCCATATATGTACACATGTTTCAATGAGTTTCCCCTTTCTGGTCATTCTTGTAACTTCGCTTCAAACTTTATGGTGTTACATCATATAGTTTGTCTTTCATCTTCCCCCTTCTGCCATTGTCCATCAAAGAGACTGAGATAGAAGTTGTTTTGATTTTTAAATTGTCTTTCTTTGATTCATTACATTTGCTGTTGTTCTTATCAGGTTGTGATGGATGCTGTGAATAAACCTCGAAATGTTACCTATAAAGGACTCACTGATTTGGTGACCGAGTAAGGCCAACTGTTTTTTTTTTTCTTTTCTTTTTGGAAAGTTAAGACCAACTGTTTTGAAGTTGTATGTTTTTATGCTACTACAATGGTTGTAATATTTTCGTCCAAGCCATCTTTTATACATGTGGTCTTCCATTTTTGGTTTAAATGTATTTGAAACTAATGACGAACTGCTTTACAGTTACACTTGTGCCTACAACTTCCTTATAGATTAACTTTCGTCTTCTGAATCACATATCTTTTATTCTTTTATTCTTTTTTTTTCCCCTTTCTTCCCCTTGCATTGTTCTCTCCTTATTTTCTTCTTGTTTGACAATATCGATTTGAATTATTGCAGCACTGATAAAATGAGTGAGACTGCTATTCTAGAAGTTGTGAGAAACAATTTTGAAGATCACCTCATTCTTGGGGAGGAGGGAGGGCTCATTGGGGATTCATCTTCTGATTACCTTTGGTGCATAGATCCCTTAGGTTTGAATCTCTGTCCCTTAGTATATTCACCTAATTCTCTAGAACTTGAGAACTTTATTTTTGAGTATGTCTTGTAAGTGGTTACCATTTCAGTGTTAATACATGCATATAATCTTACAGCTTTGAACATTGAAGTACTGTTTGCCAGAAATGCATCAAGTTATTGGCAACTATATGTTAGATTTTTTTTGTGTTGTAAAGCATAAAACAGAAGTGAAGAGATAAATAAAACAAGTAGAACACACAGATATTACGTGGTTTAGCCACTAGGGCCTACATCCACGGCACAAAGAGCCCAAAATGCTACATCACTTTTATAATACTCTCTCAATTTATACGCAATACAATGGTGGAGGCTCCTTTATATAGGAGCAGAAATTATGAGAATAGAAAGAGATAGAAAGTAGGAAAGGAGGATTTTTTTTCCACTGATTCCTCTAGTAACACTAAATTTTCAATAGTAGGAAACAACATCAATTATTGAAATATTTTCCTCCAATGATTCCTCCATTAAATCTTCAATACTCCCCCTCAAGTTGGAGCATGAATGCCCAACTTGCCATTGAGATGACGAGTTTCAACAAGTGTGAATGATGAAGAGAGAAGACGAACAACAATGCTACCGAACACACCGACAGCCCAAACAAGTCAACAGAAAACGGCCGAAGACACGACAAAGGCAAGGACAATGCTACCAAACACACCGGCAGCCTAAACAAGTCCATAAAAACTGTCGGAGATATGGTAAAGACGAAGACAATGCTACCGAACACACCAACAGCCCAAACAAGTTAACAAAAAACTGTCAGAGCCACGGCAAAGGCGAGGACAATGCTACCGAACACACTGGTAGACCAAACAAGTCGATAAAAACTGTCAGAGACAAGGCAAAGGCGAATAACATTACTGCCGAACAAGCCGACGGCCCAAACAAGTCATAAATAGCACCGAGAAACCCTTAGCAACATTTCAGCTTCTAAGGGAATACCCCAAAATAGGGGTCTGAACCTAGAAAGAGAAATTAGGCTCTAATACCATGTTGTAAGACATAAAACAGAAGTGAAGAGATAAATAAAACAAATAGAACACACAAATATTACATGGTTCAGCCACTAGGGCCTACATCCAAGGCACAAAGAGCCCAAAGGGCTACATCACTTTTATAATACTCTCTCAATTCATACACAATACAATGGTGGAGGCTCCTTTATATAGGAGAAGAAATTATGAGAATGGAATGAGAGAGAAAATAGGAAAGAAGGAGGATTTTTTTTCCATCGATTCCTCTAGTAACATAAATCTTCAATAATAAGAAACAACATCAATTACTGAAAAATTTTCCTCCATTAAATCTTCAATATTGTGTAATGGAATTAAGTTGCTTGCGTAACCATGTAGTTTTTTCCTTCCTTTATGTGTGTGTGTGTGTGTGTGGATATAAATAGATTCTTCCATCATGATTTGTTAGCGAAAACTATTAGAAAGTTTATTTGCCTTGCTTGATACACTATCTTGGCTTGTAAAAGTTTAACATCCATGACGTCATACTTGAGAAGTAGTTTATGCTTTGGGTGTAACTTTGGTTTTCCAGATTTACTAGATTTTCAGGGTACTATAGGTCCGTTTTCTCCGCTCTTTTTTCCTTTTCTTTTCTCCTTTTATGGGCAAACGAATGCAGCTAAGTACCAAGGTGAGTGTTTGAGTCCCCAAAGGGGCAAAGTGGATGTGTGGTTTCTTGCCAATGAAAAAAAAAAAAAATGCAGCGAAGTTTTAATTATGCATCTCCAGTGTAACTAAATAAGAAGTCTCTAAATATAATCTAAATAAAGTATTCTGGGGATGGAATTTCGATTAAATGGAAAGTAGGTTGCTTCTAAAGAGCACTTTTTAGGGGGTGTGGTTTATCTATCAGGAAGCTTTCTCCTATTAAGTTTTTCAATTATTCAAATTGGACTTTGAAACATATTGCTTTTCTCTTTGTTGCATTACATTTGTAGCCAAAGCTTGAGCCTTGAGGTGCGCTCAACAATGTCTCTTTGCTGAACATTTCATCATGTTAATACATATTCATGTTTAGCTCTCAGCATTTACTTCTCATGATAGCAACTAACTGTTCTAAACGTCTGATATTTACACAGATGGGACAACAAATTTTGCTCACTGCTACCCTAGCTTTGCAGTCTCTGTTGGAGTTTTGTTTAGAGGAAAGCCAGCTGCTGCTGCTGTGGTATTAATCACCACCTATACAGCTTCTGATACACATCTGCATAATTTTATTATGGCACATCAGATGGAAAGTCTATAATATATTAATAATACGTTTGTAAAATCTTATCAGAGGTAAATGATAATTCACCTGATGATGCTATAGGAAATAGACTCTGTATGTTAGTTTAGTTTATGAAAATGGTAAATGTCTTGAGCCTCCCTAGGTTTTCTATTGTCACTGGCCTTTCCTAAAGTAATGTATCGTCATCATACACCATTCACAATTTTTATTTCCTTGTAAAACTTATTACTTCAACAATTAACTGTTGACCATTTTGCTAATGCGGCCTGTGCTGCTCTTTACTTGATAACATGTCAATTTCCTGTTTCCACACCATCATAGACTGGGTTGCACCCCCTTAATGCTCTTTAGTAATTTGTTTCACTTGCAATACAACTTAATATAGACTTGTCCTGCCTAGTAGGGTTGGCTAGCATGCTTACCTTATCAACAAGAGAAAAAATAAAAATATAAAGAAGAAAAAGAAAAAGAAAAAGAAAAGCTTCTTTATGTATTGGGATAAATAAAGTTCTGAGAGAAGATCACAACTTGTCCAAAAAACTTGGTACTCACGAAATTGGGCTTTTCTACTCAGCATCTAATTTACTAGTTAGAGATAAATAGAGAGAAAAACGATTAAGATGGTTTGGACAATGCAAAGAAGACTACTAAATGCACTAGTAAGAAAAAAATGGTATTGTCCACTAATTAGAGATAAAATAGATTAACATGCGCAAAGAAAACCACTAAATGCACCAATTAGGGAAAGTGACAGTCCACATTGAGGGTAATGCTAGGGGAAGCGGAAGATCAAAATTAACATGGGTAGAGTTAGTAAAGAGCAACCTGTCCAAAAGACTTGGTGCTCACGAAATTGGGCTTTTCTACTCAGCATCTGATTTACTAGTTAGAGATAAATAGAGAGAAAAATGATTAAGATGGTTTGGACAGTGCAAAGAAGATTACTAAATGCACTAGTAATAAAAAAATGACATTGTCCACTAATTAGAGATAAAATAGATTAACATGTGCAAAGAAAACCACTAAATGCACCAGTTAGGAAAAGTGACAGTCCACATTAAGGGTAATGCTAGGGGAAGCGGAAGATCAAAATTAACGCGGGTTGAGTTAGTAAAGAAGGATGTAACAACAGGCGGTTGGACTGTGGCTATGGCATGGAATGAAATGGAAAAAAAGGATTCTTGTCAAGTATTTGGGAAAATGCTTTGTTGAGTTGAGAAACTTTCTAAACAAGTTAAAATGACTTAGGCTTGAATCTTAATGAATCATGGCAGCAGAGCCACTCTACAATTTACAATACCCATCGCATGTTAAAATCGATTCAAAAGGTTCCACCCATTGTGTGGAAAGAACTGTACTTCAACACAACCTGCACGACTGTCCATTTAGTTGGCAAACTGGAACTTTAATTTTTTTTTTTTTTTTTTGTGCAAATAAATATTACTTGGTTTTGGTGATAGTTGGACATAGGGTTGATCAATCTTGAGGAAGGATCATAATTGGTGGAGGTAAAACAACCAAATCAATTATAACAAGAGCGGACTGGTAGAACTACTGAAGGTAGGATAAGTTTAAAGGAATAAATAGAAAGAACTACCAAGAGGGAGGACAATTTATGTATAAGATCAATCTTGCAGACTTCATTGCGAGTGAACAAATGCTCAAAAGAATTGGAATAAGACATCAGACAAGAAGAAGATGGGGAAAGCTAGGGAGAAGTAAAAAGAGTAGAGATTGGAAGCGTACTATGATCTCTTATACTGGCCCCACAAGCCCTCTTAATTGAGGTTGGATAGGATTCTTGTGAAGAAGCTATTACTTTTAGGTTGCAGAGGTCTATGGTATCCTGGGTCTAAGTGTAGGAAGGTTTGACTACTTGTTCCATGTCTCATGCGTGAGACCTCTAAGCGAAGTAATCAAGAAGCTAGTAAATTAAACATATCATATATACAGTCAGATCATGCTCAACTAGACCAAAAATAAGAAATAGCGAATAGGAGGAATTTGAGGGTAGGCCTTGGTCAACAATAAGGTTGCTCCATTGTGACCTTGGAGGTCACGGGTTCAAAACATGAAATAGCCTCATTGCATGCGGAGGTAACGCTGCATAAATCTGACCCTCCCCAAACCCCGTAATTGCGGGAGCTTCATGCACTGGGCTAGCCCTTTTAGTAAATAGGAAGAACATGAAGTGCTTCTAAATGAAGAACTATCGTAAACAAATGTGGACTGGAAACTTCTAAACAGAATTAGAAACCACTTTGAGCTCCTAAAAAGTCTTCAACTTCCATTTTTAATTAATATCAACTGCAACCAGACAACAAAAAATGCCCATTGAAAATTTAAATTTTTGTAAAAGTAAATTAAATATGAATGCAAACACTCTTACGGACGTTGTGGAGTAGATAACCTGAAAGCACTTAAATAGCAATTCTTTTTCTTTATTATATCAATGAGAAGAATCAACTCCTGACTTCACCACAATGATCTAAATGTCATGCAAACATTTAATCACGGTGCTATAATGGCTTTTATCTGAATTTTAATTTCATTCCTGATCCGATTGCAATCCTTCACTATCAATTGTATTTATTTCCATATCTACACTTCCCATATCTGCAATGGCTGAAACATCTTTTTGGTATCTGCAATGGCTGAAATATGCTCTTCAAAAAAATTCTGTAATTATTGTAACTCTTATTGATTTCTTAAAAGTTTGTCATGGCAATGCATGTTAATTGAAGTTTTTGAGTGAAATATTGATAGTTCAAAGATAAAGCCAGTTTATGTTGAATTTAGTGAGTCTGAACACATGCTTGATGCTGGAGTTGACAGCTAGGTCATTAAACCTCTCACTAGTTTGAAAGTTACTTTTCCCGTGAATCATATTGAAGTTCTTAGACCAATTACTGATGCTAGCTAGGAGGAAGTATTGCATCATTTTCCTATATGATCCAAATCACAGAATAGGGGATGAACAACTGATTGAGAGGTGAACAGATATGGTTGAAAAAAATTGGCATAAACATGAGTTTTTAATTTCAAAAATTAAGATTTTAAGATGTTTGAACAAATAATCTTTTTTCACAAGGGTCAATCACCAACTAGATGATATGGAATCTTGGAATGCCAACTTTAGATAAGGTCAAGAAACATCTGTTATAGTAGCTGATAACTGATAGGGAACCGTTTCATGTCTTGGTAAACAATGATATTCTTAAGAGAGCGTCCTTAATCGCAAGAAAGGAAACTTTCAAAAGTGAACGATGTCATAGGCAAAATATGTTGCATGAATCGCCCATTTGACGTGGATTTATCGGTATTTATGTGGCAGTCATGAGAAATATTGTGAAAATAGGATACAAACAGTGTCCAGATGCAACACTAAGCATATATTCTTATACATAATGTATAAATAAGCAATATAATTGTGTATTTGAATTAAAATTTTGAGTTTACACCCCCATCTCTTGTCATATCTAATTTCAAAACACATATACCAGCTGGGTATTTTAATCTTGATGGATAGGATTTTCATTACCATAGGTGGATTAAACTTTTTGAATCTAATTTCTGCAATTATACACTTTCTTTGTAATTTACAACTATATGTGTGTGTGTGTGTGCACGCGCGCACTTGCTTGTGTATCTACTGTATAATGTGTTTTACTTTTACACTTGTCAAATTTTGTATTTTTCTTGGGATCTGCTCCCCTTTTGAGCTTTTTTAATAAAATTTTATTTATCCAAAAAAAAAAATTGGTATCTCTTTGTTTGATGTGTACTACTGCTTGGAAGCAAGTTATAAGATGTGGAAAACCTTATACAAGGTCACAAAAAATAATGAAATAAATAAAGAACACTTTGGGAATGTGATTAATTATCATATAAAGAAGGGCTTCAAGACATTCTTCGCTAGCTGTAAACCTCTCCATTTGCCTGCATTGAAATAAAATTAATTGCTAGGTTAACCTCTATACTTCAATCCAAGTTGTGCCATACTTGAAGAATCTTAGGAAGATCCTCTGGTTATTTACATGGAATTTTTAGTGTATAAGAGCATACGTTACTACAAAATAATATTCACAAGCCATATCATTTGCTGATGCTTATTTCCCAGAAAGTAAAGTTATGAATAATTTCTGTATTACTCAACGACAGGAAAGATGACAGTGTGTTTTCTGTTTTAGGTAGAGTTTGTCGGGGGCCCTCTATGTTGGAATACGCGCACATTTTCTGCAGCTGCTGGTGAGAAGTTCTACTTGAGCATCGATGTAAAATGTTCTTTGATGATTAAAGTCAAATATATAGTTATGGTTGAATGTTTAATCCTCGTGATTATAGGTGGGGGTGCATTTTGTAATGGGCAAAAAGTTCACGTGAGTCAAACTAATAAGGTTTGTGCTATATCAATGCTAAACTGATTAATTCCAAATAGGTGGAAAATTCAGGTTTTCACTACACATTCTTGTGTACTTTTCCCCCCTCCTTTTTATGTTTGTGATGCACATAGCAAGATTAAATGAGCATGAACATTGTCTCACTATCTGTATGGCTTTTGGACTTGAGGAACTTGGCAAGGCATGAGCTTTACAATTGCTTCTTGGAAATGCTTGTTTTCAATTAATATGCCATCTTTCTATGAATTGATGGTGTTGCTTCTCCTACACTTCCAGAGACTGCTCATGGCCTTTGAAAAAAAAAAAAGAACAAAAAAAGAAGAAGAAGAAAAGGAGTGAAAATATGTGAACTGGTTTCTAACTGCTAATTCACAATCATTGTGTTAACATATATGATATCCACGATTTATGGAATGATTTACCATAATAGCAGAGATTTCACTATACATATGTTAGCATATATGATAGCCACGATTTATGGAATGACCTACCATAATAGCAGAGATTGATAGCCACGATCTCTGCTACTTGGTGGCAGAGATTTGATTATGATATAGAATATGCTTTAGAATATGTTGTGATTTGATTTAGATTTGATTTAGTTTCATTTCTTGTAATATGAGCATGTGCTCTTTTTATCTTTAAATACTAGAGTTGTGAATGAGTGATTCATCTTATTCAAGCCTTTACACAATTCTCTCATTTTTCTTCTTTTCATATTTCTACTTGGTATTAGAGCCAACACCTTTCAGCAACCTTGCTACTTGTGCGACAGCCACCTTAGGCTATTTGTGACATCGTGTGACATTACCTACACATGTTTTGCTGTATTGCTGTTTTATGATCGAAAACAGACATTTTTATGTTTTACAATTTCTTTTTACTCTTCTAGGGTTTGGGTAAATTGGGATAGTTGTTCTCCAACACCTAGAAGGGCTTGGGTCAAAAAAAAAAAAAAAAATCTTCAAAGAGGTTCCGGATATTGAGGAGGCTATTTGGCTATATGTAAGTGGACAACACTCCTTAAAAAAAGTATGTATTTAGATTTTTCGGGAATGGTTTGAGGAGACATTGTTATTGTTTATGATCTGAGTAGACCTTTAATTTATTAACAGAATTTGTGGTGTTTTTGGAGTTTTTTATTATCGTGTGACAGTATATGGTAGATTCAGAGTCTTCGACTGTTAATTCTCTTGGCTCAAGTTCTGTTGGTGGTGGTGCCATTTTTCTCACCAACTCATCAGAAAATCCAGGACTTTAAATCACCACAGTGAAGTTGGATGGCTCCAACTATTTGATTTGGGCACAATCTGCCAAGATGTTCATTGTTGGCAAAGGCAAGATTAACTATATTACTGGTTCTGAGAAAGAGCCAGCTGAGTCAGAGAAGGCATATCCACAGTGGTTTGCAGATAACGCTATAGTTATGTCTTGGCTAGTCAATTCAATGCAACCAAACATAGTTGTTGGCTATATGATTATGAAGACTGCTAAGCAGATTTGGGATTCAGTTCAACTTACTTATTCTTAGAGGCAGAATAATGCACGGATTTTCTAGCTAGGGCGAGATAACACCAGGATTTCTCAGGGTGACTTGACAGTTTCAGGTTACATCACCAAGCTTCGTGCTATTTGGGAGGAGATGTCATATTACGATTCATTCCCACTCTTGGAAGATTCCAAATGGTGGAGTTTTTTATGCAAGGATTGTGGAGAAGAATCGAATGTTTCAGTTTCTTGTCGGGTTGAACGACGAGTTTAAGTATGCTCGTGGTCATTTATTGGGCTTATCTTCATTCCCTACTCTTGAGGATGCATACTATTATGTGTTGTCAGATGAGAGCCGTCGGACTAATCCATTAGGTGTTGCTTTTGTTGATCGTTCTGCTATGGCAGTTCGTGTTTCCAACCTTTCAAGAACTGCACCATCCCAGTTAGTTTAGAGCTCTACCACCGATCCTCCTCTGGGACGACAATGTGGACGATGTGACCATTGCGGAAACATTGGTCACATCAAGTCTCGTTGTTATGCTCTACATGGACGCCAACCGCAATAGAAACAACAGCCTCGATCGTCTGCACATTCTGTTACACAACCAGTATTGTTGTCAACTCCTGACAACTCTGCCTTTACATCTTATGCCACAGTTACCTTGATTCAAGCTGATTTGGACAAGTTCAAACAATTCTTTAACCAAATGGGGCCATCATCTCAGCCAACCTCCACTTATGCCCACTCAGGTACTATTGCGTCTGCACATAGCGTATCTACATATTCGACACCATGGATCATTGATTCTGGTGCTTCAGACAATATGATTGGTATGTCCTCATTCTTCCAATCTTATAGTATTTGCTTTGGCCATCGCAATCTTCTATTGCTGGGAAGTGTCACATATTAGTTACTCCGTCATTAACTTTATCAGATACACTTCATGTTCCACAGTTGACTACAAATCTTATTTCTGTTAGTAGCGTTACCAAACAATTAAATTGTAGTGTAACGTTCTTTCCCTCTCATTGTATTTTTCAAAATCTGGTGTCAAAAAGGACGATTGGCAGTGGGCGTGAAGTGGACGGTCTATACTTGTTGGATGCTCCTTTGTCACCTCAAGCACATTCAGCTTCATTTTCTAATTTTGTTTCATCTAATAAAGCACAGCTTATGCGTTGGCACATGCGTTTAGGACATATTTCTTTCGGTTATTTAAAAATTTTATTTCCTTCCTTATTTTGTAATGTGGCAGTGTTAGATTTATCTTGTAAGATATGTCATATGGCTAAACATGTTCGTTCCAATTATCCTGCTAGTAGTAATAAATCTGCTTTAACACCTTGTTCATTCAGATGTGTGGTGTCCTTGCCCAGTTACTTCTAATCTTGGATTTCGATATTTCGTATTGTTCATTGATGATCATAGTCGTGTTACATGGGTTTATCTTATGAAAACCAAAAATGAGGTATACACCATTTTTAAAAATTTTATGACAACGGTTCAGACTCATTATAGTAGTACCATTAAAAAATTCAGATCTGACCAGGGTATGGAGTATACTTATGGGTAGGTACAGCGGTTATGTACATAATTTGGGATTGCGCATCAGATGGCTAATGTTAAAATTCTTCAACATAATGGCCGTTCTGAGAGAAAGAATTGCCACATCCTTGACTTAAATATAGAATCTGCATTGGCATGAATGTTCCCCAGTCATTTTGGGGAGATGCAATTCTTTTTTTTTTTTATAAATAAAAATTTATTAAAAAACGCTCAAAAGGGGAGCGGATCCCAAGAAAAATACAAAAGACCACAAAGGCCTCAAGCCTTCAAGGAGGCCAAAAAGTCAACAATCTCCTCCAACCATCTATGATCTCTCCTTGAAACCCAAGAAAAAGGAGTGGAAAAAATCGAGAATTTAAGCACCAAAATAGACATCGCCTTTCTTTCAAGCCAAATACACCACCACACACAAAGTGGCGTAGCCCTCCACGCATCCTAACTGTGAGCCCCCACAGGGCAACCTCTCCATGCCTCAATTAACCCTCTAGCGAATCCTAGCATAACCCAAGAAAACCCAAATAAGCCAAGCATCAAATCCTAACACTCTCTTGCCAAAGAGCAATGAATGAGAAGGTGATCCATTGATTCCTCATCACGAAGACACATAAAACAACGACTGACCACCATCTGGCTTCTCCCTCTCAAATTATCCTGGGTTAAGATCTTACCTAGAACCGAAGTCCACACAAAGAAAGCTACCTTGAGGGGAGCCTTAGAACGCCAAACAGACTTCCAAGGAAAACGAACTCTATGATCAAACGAGTAACACCTGAAGAAAGACCTAACCTCAAAACACCCCTGGGAGTTTGCAACCCAAGACCAACAATCTGAATCCTCATCCACAATCCTCTGGCGATACAATAGCTCCAAGAAATGAATGGCCTCCTCGATCTCCCAATCCTGAAAGAAACGCCTGAATTGAACATCCCAAACCAGTCTCCCATTATCAAGATGATAACAGTTGACCACTATGGCCTGCCTATCCGAAGCAATCCTGTAAAGTTGAGGAAAGGCAAGAGCGAGAGGAACATCTCCACACCACACATCCTCCTAAAAACAAATCCTCCTCCCATCTTTAAGTCGAAACTGAATGTGTTTGGAAAATTCATCCAAACCCTTCCGAATAAATTTCCAGACCCCCACCCCCCGAGGATCCCTCACTTCCAGAGAACTCCACTCTCCTCTCATCTCCCCAAAACGACAAACCACAACCCTCCTCCAAAGCCAATGTCTCTCCACACCAAATCTCCACAACTATTTCCCAAGGAGAGCCTTATTTAAAGGCACCAATCTACGGAGACCCAACCCACCATTCCGAATTGGCCTGCAAACCTGTTCCCATCGCACCAAATGAAATTTAAACTCTTCACCTCTACCCCTCCACAGAAAATTACGCTGCAACCTCTCAATCCTCTCCGCAACTGAAGACGGAATCTGAAAAAGAGAGAGAAAATAAGTGGGAAGGCAAGAGAGGGTGCTCTTAATCAAAGTGACCCTGCCGCCTTTGGAAAGATATTGCTTCTTCCAACCCGCCAACCTTCTCTCAAATCTATCCACCACTGGTTCCCAAATCCCCACACACCTCGAAGGAGCGCCCAGAGGCAAACCTAAGTAAGAAATGGGAAATGAACCAGTCCGACAACCAAGAATGTCAGCAAGAGCCTCAATCTCAGGGACCTCCCCAACTGGCACCAAAACACTCTTGCCCACATTCACCTTAAGGCCGGAGACAACTTGGAACCAAAACAAAACTCATCTCAGATATCTAATCTGGGACACGTTCGCATCACATAGAACTAAAGTGTCATCAGTAAACATCAAATGAGATATCTCCAACTGAGAAGCAGCATCCCTGCCCACTCGAAAGCCCCTCAAAAGACCCAACTCGATAGCCCTTCTCATCAATCTACTAAGGGCCTCCATCACAAACAAGAACAAG